GAGGAGAGGAGATACCATCTCTAGGAGCTTAGTGGAGGTTAAGTCGCCCATGTAATAGCATTCTGGAATTATGGGAAATTTTTGCTTACGGAATCCGCAATCCGTGAAAGTTTTGCTTGTGGCATCTGGAATCCGATATACAGCTCAAGGTATCCGGAATCCCAATAACGATTAGCCTCCCACGCATACGTTCTTAGGGGTTTGTCACACGTCCCTGCCTCAACGTCTGCTTGGGAGGCTAAATAACGATTGGAACCCAGAATCCAAGTTCCACTGTCAAAAGACTGGAATCCAGTACCTGGAATCCGGAGTCTATGGAATGGAATCCAGGATCCAAGACTGTCTTGGATTCCCTTTCATGTGGCGAGATGAGAAAGATCATTGAAAAGTGGCTAAATATAACCCGGCTTTTAATTTCATAACGTCAGTTGGAGTGACAAGTTTGTAGTTTCTTTGAGTGAATGGGCAATGCCTTTGTATGGTTTGATAACCTTACCAGGGTGCAGTGGGCATGGGCGTAGCTTGTACTAAGCCTTTAATTTCATAGTAAGTTATTTGGTGTCTGCGGGTGGAATTACTTAGTGACACTATTTTCATGCATGAAATATTTCACTATTCCTTTCACACGCTGATATTTCTTTCCAAGTATTTCGCGTGAAGTTAACTGATTAGAATTTAAGGCTTTCCATGATATTGAATCTAATTTCATATCGATTCCTTTCTCGCTTAGTAATATCTTCCTGTCATTAGTCTAGTACTACTACTCTCTCAAAATCAATTTATATTTGGTGCCTTTGCCATAATACTGTTCATCTGTTGAGTTGAATTTGCAAGCTCGTCAGGTTTAGGAGGACAAATGATGAACCACTCAGGAAATGACTGAATTGATAGTCATCGTAGTCTCTCGATGTTTAGACTAGAAACCCCTATCAACTGAAATAGAACAACTGCTTGCAGTTGGTGCCTTTCCTATGGTACTGATTATCTGCTGGGTTTAATTGCAAGCTCTTCAGTTTTAGGGAGACAAATGGTTTACGCGGGCGCTCAGAAAATGACTGAACTGATAATAATCCTAGTCGGCTCGATCTCCAGACTAGATATAACACTTCCTTGCAAGTACAGTATGTTCACGGAACGCTCGTGCAGTGTGCCCAACTTGATGGGTAAATGGAGTCGACATCATGGTCCACCACTCCAGCAGATCGAATCCGAACTGTCTCCAGAAAAAAAATATTTATATATAATACCAAGTAACTACAGAACATACCACAGATGTAAGTCTTGTATTGGATCAGTGCCATAGATGTCATAAATTGTCAGTATTGGCTGCACTCACAAATAAATGTTTTAAATTGATCATCAATTCTGACACTTCTCACGTTTAATACTGTAGCAAGTATTTTGCCTGATGACATGTGTCTAACATTGTTCGGGAAGCCACCTACAGTGCTTCTTACGGAACGTATGAACAATTTTTAGAAGCACGAAAACTGGAGAACCATTTACCAGGCATAGAAGACAAGGGCAGCAGTCTCAGCTGACACCAGCGGTATCGGGTAAGAAGTTATATACACCTGTATTAGAATAGTTAACTTTGTGCGAGAAGTCAAGTCGGTTACTAGAACAACACGCAGTCTGTTTACGACACAATCACCGTCAAACAGCTTTAATTAAAGTCATTCTTGAAAAACCCTAATTGGAAGTTTACGAGTTAGTGACCTAGCCGATGGAAATAATCTCTGCATATGGTCCGAGCTAAGAGAAGGCGGGCGATTTACTTTATAAACTTCAAGTAGGTAATAATAACTTAGTGCTTTTTGGCTGGCTACAGATTCACCGTACAATGAGTTCATTTTAAACTGTTCTAGTCATGAGACAGTCATTACATCCACACATCAGTTGAGTATTCTCTCAATGTCAGTATTAACTTTCTATTTTAAAGACCAATCAGATTGAAGCCCGGCGGTTTATTTTGGGACTGTCCTCTGCGTGATTTGTGATAAACTGTTTGAATAGTTCTGCATGCAAACAATATTAACCAAGCTTCAGCGTCGAGCTACGGAGATCGTTAACTGTTTTCGTTCGGCATAGCGGAAGACTGAGCTTGAAAGACAAGTTGCCGCTCTGACTTCGAGTTTGGTAAGTTGACGTTGAAAATAAGTGATTGCTATAGGAGTCTTACTGGAGTATTCCTATCACGCGACGCGAGACGTGCTTTGCGACATTCTGATATTCATCTCTCTTTCACTCAAACTCTATCAAGGTCATCTCCGGCTGCGGTAAAATGGATGAATGCACTTCATTCATTTGTCTCCGAACCGATATCTAGTCAATAATGCAGCTTTGTAAGACGCCATTCAGTTCTCGGGCGGTTCGCAGATGTAGCTGAGTTCTCTTTAGAATCGATCTCCCCAGCTGCATCTACCTTCCTAAGGGCGATAACTCATCTATAAGAACATGAGCAGCTGACTTCCTTGTCACTTATTTTCACTTGAAGGCAAGGGCCCCTAAAATGATAACAGTTGTGGTCCTTCGATGCGCATGAATAACGCCGGCGAGTTTCATTTTTGCATTTTAAATGTCCTGATGTCCGGCTTGATCAAAAAGCCGGAAGCCACAGGCGATGTTGCGGAATGGAGTAACAGTCTTGGACAGAATAAAATCGAGAAGCAAACGTCCTTCCTCTACCTCCCCCGTGAATTCGAGATGGACAAAACACGCCATTTTCCCATCCTTGGTTTGAAGAGGGGGTTTACCAGGGTGGGGGTGAATTTTCGTCCATTATTGACGTCGACCTCAGAGTTGTTTGCATTGCAATGTGAATGACCAAACATGAACAGAAGCCCTGACAGGAATCGAGAAAAAATGTCTGTTTAAAAACCGCCGTTCTGGTATGCAATGCCAGGAATCTGCTTGGAGTAGCTTTCCATCGTCAATTTTCACGCCCCCATATTGAGGCGGGAAACAGGTCAACCCGAACCCAATCCCAAGGGGTACGTCTTTTTCTTCAAGGAAAGAGCACTCAGAGATGTCTGACAATGATAAAGTATACTACTTTAACAACGGCGCTTTGACGTTTACTTTTGCATACCTGTCACTTTTTGGACTATCTGCTGAATAATAATTCGAGAAGGAAAAATTCCATTTGGTGAAAATGCAAACGATCTATACGTGGTAGTGGACAGCTTCACCTGTTTGCTGTTACAAGCGTTGGGACTCGTAAGTTTAAACCTAATCATTGGTATCAAATGGAAGTTACATTTTAGCTTATTTCCACCTCAAAATTAAAAAAATAAAAATAAAATGCTTAAGTCAGTTCCACGTTTAAGCCTCTCGAAGGTATGGGCATGCTCAATTTCGAGACATGCTTAGTTTTGGAGAGAGCCCCGATGTCACATTAGTGTCCCATACTCTGTGAGAGCTGGGTCCACGAATATCAGGGTAACCTCTTGTGTTATAACCATGGTTATAACAGCACAAAAGTAACAGTTTGGCCACGTTCGAAGAGAAATTCGAGCCCTTACTCAAGTTGTCACTAACTGGTGCATTAAGTTTACAATGCTTTGTAAAGTGAAAGGGTTACGTGATATTCTCACTGAAAACTTAATTGCATTATTTTTTATGTAGTGAAAAGAATTTATAATAATCTAAGCAACTGTTTAAATATACAATCAAAGATAATAAAAAGATCCATACAATGAGCTCGATGCGTAAACGCTTCAAATACACCATTTTTTGAAAACAGGGACTATTTTGGCTTGCGAAAACAACTTTTGCTATTGCCTTTGAAATTAAATTTCTAATGAAAGCCTAACCAATTCAACGTAGCACGTGGGTACCATTATTTGCCTGCAGTTATAATTTATTTGCCTTTGTTTCAGTTTCAATAAAAACTTCTCACTTAGCGTATTTGCATAGCTTAATTGCCTTTGCAGCGTCGGTACTTTTAAGCGACTTAAGGCTATTTTCCTTAAGTAGGTCTTACCGAAAGAGAGAGATTCTTTTTTGTTTCGTGAGTTTCTTATCTTGTCTAAAATCAGGACTTAGAAGGGAACTGTTAAACCACAACAATTTCCCGTGTATAAGTTATTAAATTTTTCCCTGGTGTCTCGGTCGAGCTTCTTAACCTCCAGTCATTTTAATATTTAAATTTTAATTGCATGTCAGCTTCTTGAGATTTAACATGGATTTTAATAGATTGGCGGAAATGTAAAAGACCAAATGCGCAACAAATTTCATCCCGAGAAATCGTAATCTCTCTTTGTGGTTTACCCCTAATGCCGCTTGTTCACGTAGCCTCGAGGGCTATTTAATCTCCGTTGGGGTCCAATAATCCCAGCAAATGAAAACTTCAGTGTAAAATGCAGCAAATGAAGGTCAAGAGAGATCAAACTTAAAATCTTCCCTCGTTGCTCACGGCCATGTTTATTCCTTTCGGCTTCTTCCCTTGCAAGCCTCAATCTGCTGTTGGCTTGGAGACAATAACGATTAGATTATTGAAGTTGCCCGAAGTTCGAAATACACCTGTCTTACAATTCGCTTTTTGCTTTTTAATAATTGATGGCAACCAATTTCGCCAAATGTTTACGGGGCCATAGAGATAGGAAAGAACAATTAGACATCTAGAGGAGACAATACGAAAGCGAAAAACGGAGAAACTAATTGATTGTGAAGCATTACACGACTTGTTCAACCCGCCACTCGCAAAATTACCTCAAAGTCGGCGAGGCATTAATTAAGGCAGAAACAGCATATATTTTAATTCCATCAGTTACGCCTTAAGGTGGTTCAAAGGGTAGGGAGGAATTTTTCACTCTGCTCAAAAATTTGGCCAGTTATGAAACTTGTCAGTTTTGTGTCTAGAATGCATGTTTATGTTTAGTATCTTACGTCAGTTCCGTCTAAGTTACTTCCGTTTCTGTTGAAGAAAGCCGCTGCACGAGAGATCCACGTTCCAAACAGTGCGGTTTCAATCGCGGAGGGAAGACGGAAGGTTGGACATGGTGCAGAAAGCTTTGATTTTCATCGCCAATTTGGCTTCGCTCCTGTTACACTTTTCAACAGCAGACAGAGGTAAGCTGCGGGTTCTCTTTTTCTTTTGAAATATAATGGATTAATTGAAATATTGCGGCCGTGTTTCCAAGCGTAAACTTTACGCGCTCTCGGCTTGTGGCCCTTCTTTCAAATTCAAGGATATCACGGCTTGCTACGGATTACTCTCAGGGGTTAAAGAAGCCCACTTTTCTAGCCTGACCTCAGTGGTTTTCTTGCGTCCGTGCGTGACTTTCTATGGTGCTAAGAAGATCTGTCATTCGAACGCTTAAGAAATATTGACTGCGAAACATTATCTAAGCCTAGCGATGATGCGTTGTGGTTTATTCCTCGCGATGGGTGGCAGCCAATGTTTACTTCTCGCACAAAAGCACGGATAAGGCAGGGCTGTCAAAATTAGTTAGAGAATTGGGAACACGTCATAACGCGGAATTTTTCCTTTCAATTTCATGTCGCTAGATAGAGCGTTCGAGAAATTTGAATTTTAAATATCAAGGATGACTTTCGGTCCATTTGCCTGTATGTTAAATTGACTCTAAAGAAAGGAAAAGTCTTTTTGCCACCCCTTCGTGATATAAATGTGTAGTTTGACTGGAGTAAAGATTTAATGTGAATATTTTAAGTCTTGTTTGCCACTCGTGGCTTCGTTATTTTCATTATCGCACGCCCAAAACTCAAATGATATACAGTGAAGAAACCCGACACGGAGCGTTCTAAAGTGTCTCGACTCGAGAGGGTTTTTCGATGTCTTCTGTTTGTTTTGTAATTATCACCTCTAAATTTCAACTTCCGATCGATACATTGCTGACGTTCTTATGAAAAACGAAAGAAAAATGGGGGAAACAAGTTTGTGTTCATTTTACTTGGCTTAATGTATCGTTCGCGGGACCTTCTATTGCAATAACTGCATCTTTTATTTCGCTAATGGCTCGCAGCTTGAGATTTACATTTGCTAATGATCTCAATCTTAACGTTTGGAGCACAATTTGAAGAGCAAAGTGAGTTCTTTTCATTCGCGACAGGACCCAGGGTTCTTCCCTTCAGTGATGCCCCTTTTTATCGCGTTCTTTAATAAAACATATGATGAAATCGACAACTGTATGTCCGTTTCTTTTGTTCGCGTAGCGTATTTCAGGGACGACATTTGCATGCAAGATTGAATTGAAAAACAAATGTTTGGGTTTATTGGGAGAGCCAGAAATCGTAAACAACACTTACAGAAAGCTACAGATTTAACAGCTGTTATTCAAAAAATGTTTACAGATCTGACATTTATAACTGGCATCGATGGTTGATTGACGAAATGTTTTCAAATGTCGAAGAGCTCAGCGACAGGGGGACCTTTGTTCGCGGGAAAAAAAATCCACGCGAATTCAGTATACAAGCAAAAAAGATTCTTGAAACATGAAAGGAATGAATTGGACGCATTCAAACGGGAAACAATAGCAATATGAAATGCTAATTGATTCTAGGAAGAAAGGCGCTCGCGTTGTACTTTGGCTGTCGGCAATAAAATGCCATTTCCTGTATCAAGCCCACTGCACCTAGGTGTTGTCGTTGGTTAAAAGTGATTTCTCTTAGTGGAGTAAAGTAATTAAATTAGCACCGAAAAAAATTAATTAATGTATGTTCACCAGTGATAGCGGTCCAGAATAATGAAGTTTTTATTTCTGGTTCACAACTGAAATGCCAAAAAACGATGATAGAAAAGGCAATAAAGTACTGTTCATATGAAAACGGAAAATGTTTTGATATCAAAACCATTACAAGGTATACATATGTATATATTTGAGACAACTTGGCTCCTATGAAATGAAGTTATATAAATTTTACAATAGTGTTTGGAGGAAACATTAAAAAGAAACTTTAACAAACATGCAAATGAATGGGACTTGTTTTTTTTTTCCCTCAGCTCTCTCTTTCTTTTTGCTTTATCTTTGATATATGCTTATATATTCACACGCCAGCTTTGTAGGTCTTCATCATTTGTCACGTTTTGTGAGGACCGATGTACACTAAAGTAAATGTGTTCTTAAAAGCTAATTTCAAGCAAAGAATGTGTCAATAACACACCATTTCCCTTGACATAAATGTGGCAGATTTGTGAGTGGGAGTAGAAAATTATGTTCATTAAAATAACAGGATAATTAAATTTTACTTTCATCTGAAACAATTTCGACAATTTCTCTTTTGGAGATAAGTTTTTCATAAAGAGTAAAAATACTTCTGAAGGCACTAATGAAATTAAGACTTTTTCTAGAAATAGTATGAAAAGTATGCTATTTTCCTTATGTATATAGAAAAGAGAAAACTTAAGGCCAAAGTATTTACATTTATAGAGAGACTTGAAAGTACAAAATGACAAAATTATTATAATTCTCCTTTGAGGTACAAGTATGGAAGGTTTTGGTAGTTTAACCCTTGAAGTGCCAAGAGTGACCAACATCAATTTTCTCCTAATAATATCAATACATAATTAAGAGAAAAGTTTATGATGGGAATAAATGGTATGATCACCTATGGGCAAATGCTTTGATCTTTGAACAAATTCTCTCAACTAATTCTGTAAGGAAATGCATGGAGATCAGTTTGGAGAATTTGTATGTGGATATTGGGGCTTAAGGGTGAATGCTTGAAGTGCCAAGACTGACCATCATTATTCTCTTCTACAGCATAATTAACCTCAATACATAATCAAGAGAAAAGGTTACAAGAATTACTAAAATAATCACCAAAGGGAATATGCTTTGATTTTTTGTTAAATTCTCTCAACTAATTCTAAAGGAGCTCCGTGGGGCCCAGTCTGGAGAACTTGTATGTGAATATCAGGGCTTACAGGTTTCAGGTATAAAAGAGATGATTTTCTAGAGACAAAGCTGGAAAAAAGCTAAGCTAAGCTTAGAAGCTATGTAAGCATCCTTAAATCTACCAGGCAATCTGGGAAAAGTGAGTCTGAAAAGGCTTCTTAATGAAAAGGCTTTATATTATTTTTCATGTAAATAATTTCTTGCTAACACATGTTTATCCTTTTCTTATAATGAACATGGCCTTGATAATGGTTTCTTATTCTTTTTCTTTAACATTCAATCTAACAGTAATTTTCTGTTTTAAAGCAGATATTTTATCTCACTTACATTTTTTTTTTCTTTGTTCCTATTTCATCATTCCGTCAGCAGAAATTGATCCAAATGTACATTGTTATTTCAATATAAAAAACCCTCTTATATGCGCCGTAACAAATATGCCAGTTAATAAGCAAATGGTATTTTTTGTCCCTTTTTTCATTAAAATCAGTTTACAAGGCAGTACCTTGATGTCATCAATGTACCCCTGTTTCGATGGGACATTTTGGTATGAGGGTTTTATTCTACTGATAGTTAATTATTGAAGGATGCATGTAAAAAGGCCATTGGTGACTTGCTGGTTTTGCACCGGCATCTCTTACTGTGCATAACAAGATGGCCGCTGAAAAAAAGAGCATCTGAAATGAAGTTGACTGAAGAGAAACGCTATTCACTCACTGATTTAGGTTAGCATCTTTTTTTTCCTTTTAATTTAGTTTCTTTCTTTCTTTTTTCTTTCCTTTCTTGTATTATTTTAGTTTTTTTTTTTTTACTTTCAGCCGGCTCTGAAAATAGAAAATAGCTTAAGTAGTTTAAGAAAAAAACATGTATTTGTAATTATTTTTCTAATTATTTTTGTTTCAAGCAAACAAAATTATTAAAAACAAATACAAAAACAAAGAGATCTAAGGCCAAGTATGAAGGCAAATATCTCTTATCCGGATTTCTATAAACAAGAGATCAGGCGGGCGCTTTTTTTTGTTGTTTATTGCCAGTTGAATGCTTTCATCAGGATACACTGGAATTCTTCGGTCAAACTTCAGCTATTAATTCAACACAATAAATTTGGTTTATTTTGATACATGTTTTAAACAATGTGATGTATCATACGATACAACTTAATAGGCAGCCATGGTGCATTAAATCGTCAATTTAGGACTCAGAATAAGAAAAAAAAAAACGCTAATGGAATTTTTGCTTGCAGTTGTTTCTTGCCAAGATAAGACTTAATGTGTGGGGAATGTGCATAACATAAGTGGTATGTGTGTTGCTGAGTTTAACTTCCTCACGAAGAACCTCGATAATGGATATTAAACTTGTGCTTACCCACTTTGATTTTCATTTAAATGCTTTCTTTAATGCATTGTGTCCTAAATTTGTGATTTCGATGTAAATTCTGTGAAAATGGATTTTTTAACACTTTCTTCCCCCTTTCAATACATGCCATTTTGAAACTCGCCCCAGTCCTCCTTCAAAAATTGGAAAAAATGTATTTGGTGGGCAATTTCTGCAGCTCTACTGCAAAAACGAGAACGGCCATAACCCTTATTTTTTATGTGATGTTTTAATAAGGACAGTGCTTCCTCCCAATGAGAAAAAAATTGGCACAAATATATGTTCAGTTTTTTGGGCAATTTTAACTAAAATAATTGTATCGATTGAGCTATCACAGGTTGAATAGCAGGTGTCCAATTTAATTGTACTTTGGAACGTAAAGTGAAAACAAGGGCATTAAAAGGCATTTTTCTAGTACATAAGTGGATAAACAATACATTAAAGTCAAGTTCTGCATGATACAACATGCATCATCATCAAAAAAATTTCTCCTTTTTGTTAACTCGTGGGTACGCGCGAGCGTACCATGAGTTATTGCAGGGACAGGGATATGCAAATGAGTCACTCGCTCACTCGTAGTAGACGCACTTCGTAATTAATCGGGTCCGAACTCGAGATCGTGAAGATCTATCGTTTCCAAAGAAGCACGCGCTCGCCGAAGTTCTGTGGCATCAAATTCCTCGCTGAGAGCGTGAATCGTGCGCTACAGCATGGTTAGAGGATAGAGGTCTTACCAAATTGAAGACACGCAGGAATCTTTCAGATTAATACGATTCAACAGCCTTTCACCAGGCATTAAACTTGATGAGAAGATGAGCATTTGCTCTTCGACTCCTTCAACTTCGACGCTGGCTTGATCTCCTACCTTGTAGTAATGTAGTAGGTTATGTGTATGAATGAATGTATGGTAAATAAAGGCACTTCTTCTTTTTCTTCTTAAGGACTCCCCAAGATCACGGGGGGAAATGGATGTGATTTTGAGCATTAGCTTTAAAATGACAGCGGAAATCGAGATAAGAAAACATAAGGTTATGTTTTGCGTCCTATTTCGCGGAGGAGTTGTGTCAGCTTTGTATCAGATATGTTCTTTCATTGGAAAAGCATTAAATTTGAGACTTTTCACAAAATCGTGCGATCATCCTCAATGGCGTAGTGGCTATGTGACGTCGGATTAACCCGAAGATACCGGGTTCAAATTCTGCTAAGGACCTTCTTTTTTCCATCTTCCTTTTTTTTTTTTTTTTTTGTTTTGTTTTGTTTGCTTATTTGTTTTGCTTTTTTTTTTGTTTTTAAATATATACCTAAATAACTGTTAATAAAGTGAAATAAACAGCAAGAAAAGTATTGTGTTTCCAGAACAAGGATAGTATATTTATAATTTGAATTTCTATCATTTCCTAAAATTTACTGTGGGAAAACCATAGGTGATAACTAATTGATTATTTTCTAAACGACGTGCCCACGAGTTGACGATAGTCTTTCTTTGATCTAGTTTTGGCCTGTGTTTTCAGACAATGCATGCAGTTTCAAATCTTTTGATTTGTTTTGGTTTATTGCAGTCACTTTACTACAAAGACCTGATCCTAAATTGTCGAATGCCGAAAGCTGGTTTTGGAAGGCAACAAACATTGAAGGAACAGCTGGGGTAAGGTGACATGACCATCAACACTAAAGCACTCCACTGTATAGACTCCAATCCAAGTTGCTGGGGTAGAGACAGCCTGCACCACAGGCGAATTGAAACCTCTGGTTAAGTTTGTCTGTGAGCCAGCCTTCTCCTAGGACACACCTGTGCATCGGGATTTGAATTTATATCATGATTGCTCATTTTGTTCCCATCCTTCCATTTGTTCATGTTGTGTATTATCGTATTACAGTGTAATAACAAATATAAATATCTATTTTATTGCATGAAGTCTTGATTAGTAATTTCATTGTACTGAGTCAGGAATGGGGAATAACATATCAAAGTTACCAGTAGAATATTAATAAATTTTGCAACAAGTTATTACTATTTGTTGTTGTTGTTGTTGTTGTTTTTGTTGATTTATTGTTTGTTTTTTTGTTTGTTTGTTTCTACCAGTGGTCTAAGAGCGCTGCTGCCAAGAATATTTTTTATCATGTCTGTGATATTGGCTCAGACAATGTTAACAACTGGCTATACAGTAAAAATGATGGATTCCACCCTCCTGACAATGTTAAAAAAGTCAACATCACAGTCAACTTCACCATATCTAGAAGATGTACTACATTAAAGCAAAATTGTGTGGAACATTTTGATGTATATACCTACCAAGCTACAAAATATTCAAACAAGTCAGATTTTGATCCAGGGAATGGAAAGTACGACAAATTAAGTACAGTGAACTTACCAAGCAACCTCTCAAGTGAGTCTGTGATTCCTTGGAGCACTGTGCAACTGTCATTGTTTATTAAGGAAGGGACTTCAGAAGTGTTCCTTGCAATTCATGACCAAGGAGCTTGTCTTAAAATCAACTCAGTCCTGGTTACGTACAGTGTTTGCGCTAAAAGGACACTGCCAGATAGTCTTGTGGTGTTACCACAAACAATGGCTCCAACAAGTGAATCTGAAACAGTCAAAGTTGTGGGTGAATGCACAGACCACTCTGAATCCACATCACTGGAATTAGAAGCTATCTGTAAAAGTAATGGGGACTGGCTCAGAGCAGAAAATGGTACAGGGGTGTGTCTTTGTAAACCAGGCTGGGAGAAAGTGGCAGCTCAATGCCAAGGTACTGTGCATGTTGTACAACTAAAGTGCTTAATTATGTTATAAGTCATATTAAATTTCACTAGGTTTTAATTAATTTTGTGAACCTTAATTAATTTGCAATTTCCTTTGGCCCCTTGCCCTCAGAGAGAAAGGAGAAGTGAAAAGCAACCAAGGTTAAATGAAAATTAACTTGAAATCATATTTGTTTCAAATCAAACGTTTTTCATACCAAAGTAATTAAGGAGTAATTTAGAGCCTCGTTATCTGTGACAGTCTTCCTGTTGTCAGTAATGTAAAAAATGGCCGAGAACATTACGTTAACAGTGTTAAGCATGATGCAGCAAAGATAAAGCTTACATGTAGCTAAAGACCCGCTTAACCTTGGTGGGCTGTAGACTGCATGTGAAATTATTAGACTCTCTGAGACCCCCTGGCTTGTGTATTATCTATTTCTTAAATACTATGTAAACAACCGATACCTTTCAGGAAGAGATTGTAATTAAAAAAATGATGGACGAACGATAAGGTAATTCCCACCGTCCGGGACCGTCCGGGTAATGGTTTTTTAGTTACTGCATGTCCCGCCAGTACCGCCATATTGAAATGCGAGCCACGTAGAAAACCGCTGATATTTTATCTCCTGTAGGCAGGCTTCTCGGCGTGGAGTCACGCAGTGCTCTCTGTTGCGTGACTCCTGCCCGATAGAGGACTACTGTTTCAAAGCAGTGTCAAGGGCTCATTGTTCTTTTTTCCCAGTATTCTATAAGCTATCGCACTTGTATCAAATTAGTAATTTTACGTCAAAAACTACGTTTTTGCTAATGCCGCATGGATTGTCATAATTATTTTAGTTAAGTTATGGTAAGATTTCCCAATAGTTTGGGTACGTTTCGACGCTGTTCAACTATGTTTTCGAGATAGTGTGAGATGCATGGGTAATTCATATGCATTGGGGCTGAACGGAAAAGTTCCGTTATGTTAATAATTATTATGTTTTTTTGTTGTTGTTTTCTTTCTTTTATGTTTTTGTTTTGTTTTGTTTTTTCTTTTCTCAATTTTTATTTCATCGATACTGACTAGCTAAGAGCGCTTTGTTTATTTTTTCTTCGCAGAGTGCAAGGTAGGTTATTTCAAAGACAAGTTGGGAAATACCGAATGTACGGAATGCCCATTGAACAGTGTCACCGAAACGGTGGAAAGGAAATACTGCAAGTGCAAGCGGGGATCCTTTCGCGCTGCATGGGAGAAGATTACAGACAATTGCACAGGTAGGACTGAAACACTTTATCTTTGGGATGAAATTTTAATGGTAAGACAATCAGATATTGGACCACTTTTCCCAGACAACTGCTACTTTGTTTTCATACCACCCTCACTGGTAACACTGGCATCATTCGAGACAAATGTTTATATTGTTTGCCCAGTCTTTCTGTGAGTTGATTGCTGCTGTCACGGGTGTTAATGTCATTGCGCATTTATTCTTTCTTTCATTCATTGATGCGTTCGTTCGTTAATTGCAATTCATTCATCTGTTCGTTTGTTCCGTTTTATTCATTTCATTCATTCGTTCGTTTCGTCCGTCTGTTCCTTCGTTTCTTCGTTCGTCCGTTCGTTCATTCATTCATTCATTCATTCATTCATTCATTCATTCATTCATTCATTCATTCATTCATTCATTCATTCATTCATTCATTCATTCATTCATTCATTCATTCATTCATTCATTCATTCATTCATTCATTCATTCATTCATTCATTCATTCATTCATTCATTCATTCATTCATTCATTCATTCATTCATTCATTCATTCATTCATTCATTCATTCATTCATTCATTCATTCATTCATTCATTCATTCATTCATTCATTCATTCATTCACTCACTCATTTTATTTTCCATTGATTATCCCATTTCATTTCTTTCTTTCTTTCTTTTTTTCTCTCCTTTTCTATTCTATTCTATTCTATTCTACCCTGCTCTATTCGATTCCATTCCATTCTATCCATTCCATTGTGTTCTATCTTATTCTATTTTAATTGAATCATTCTGGCTTTCTTGATTCAGTTGATTAATTTGATTCGAATTTACATGTACTGAACATTGTTATACTCCTATCACTGTACTATACAGGCTAGTACCGTTCACCTTTTACTATACATTCCCAACCCTTGTTTTCCTTTTTCTAAAGCTGTACCATCAAAACCAAGACACCTGCGAAGCCTTGCCAGAAATCAAACAACAGTGAGCTTGTCCTGGACCCATCCCCATCACTCTGGGGGACGGAGGGATGTGTATTACGAAATAGAATGCAAGGTCGTATGTCAGAAGGAACAAACAAGCTGTAGCCAGGACTGCGGTTCACAAGTGGTCTTCCTTCCGAGGCAAAGGAATTTGTCACACACCAAGGCCACTGTTACGAAGTTATTTTCGGCGACGGCTTATAGACTCAGGATTTACGCGAAAAATGGTGTCAGTGCAGTGGCGGAGAAAGAAGGCGTCCCGTCCGAATTTGCAGAATTAGAAATTACAACGCTCGAGTCAGGTATACATTGATGGTGGGGTCTCTTTTTCCTGTACGAAATCTATTAATTATACTGTAAGATTTTGTTCGGTTCTTTTCATTTTATTATTATCAGCCAAGTTTTGCTTTGCATGCATTCGAATGGAGAAGGGACCTATTGGTTATGGGCAACGATATGATTGTTTCGTTGTGTAAGATTTAAGAATTGAATAATTTCTGTGCCTTTTTTCGCTGACTCCTCTTCCTCACTTTTAAAGATTTAGTAAACAGACACTATGCGAACTGCGTAGACTTGATCATTCACGCTGGATTTTCATATACTAAAGGTTGACATCAAAAGGTTGATTTCCACTGTCTGGCGCGTTTTTGGCTACGCACGTTAACGCACGTAAATTTTAATCACGTAAATAAAACAGAGGCAAGATAAAAAGAGCTAAACTTAAACCAGAAGTTCAACGAGGATCAACTTTTACGCTTACGAGCGACCTTTCCGCATTGGCTCTATTTTATTTGCCATCGTAATTTTTACGCACGTAAGCACGTAAAAATTACGCGGCACTGGAAATCAACTCGTGGATTTTCACTTTCGCGTAGTTTTACGTGCGTAAATGAAACAGGTCGCCCGTAAGCGTTAAAGTTGAGCGAGGGTTAACTTTTACAGTGGAAATCCACATTTGGTGACAAAAATTTCTAAACCAAACGTATCTATTTTCATCTCAGCTCCTGAACAGCCCATCGTAACTGTAAAAAGGCTTGACAGCACGTCTATCCGTGTTTCATGGAAACTTAAGAACGGGAATAAAGGCATTAAGTACTTTTTGGTGATGTATCATCCAGTGGGACGTGAGTCTGAGAAGATAACAAAAAATACAACTAAAATGGAGCTTACAGTAAACGGACTCGAACCTGATACTGAGTATGAATTTGTGGTGAGTAACATCTCTATGGTTGCCACAGGTCAGGAAATGGTTAGGGGAAAAAATTCCTTCAAGGTCAGGGAAAAGTCAGGGAATATCACTTTAAGTCCGGGAAAATTTTTGTCTGAAAGAATTAAGTCAGGGAAAAGTGAAATTTTAAGAGTATATATTTATTCTTTTCCCTTTATTTATATAATTTTCTACCCTTTAAAATTCTTTTGTACATTTTATTGATATGAATCGTGTTGTATTGGTAGAATGTTGTTCATGAAATTGAACGACGAGCTGATGTTGGAAAAGAAAATCTATTCTTTTTGCACTTTATGTTAAGGAATTAACTATCAATTCTTGTACACTGCGTGTAGAACTTAAGATCATAGATTTTTAGCGATTGGTGTCGTCGGTTAAACCGGTGACCACGCGAGTTTTTGATTCCTCCTCTAGTAATTTGCTTTTTGCTTTTTTTTTCTGTTTAGGCAAAAATGTCCCTTAGTTCAGTTATAGTTGTAGTAGGGTTAGCAAATCTATCTTGCTCTTGCGATCATTGCGTGAACATTGAGAACAAACCAGACAAAGGACTCCTCCCTCAGAATCAATTTTGTTTCTGGCACCACGTGACCATCGAGCTCCAACCAGGGTCTCTCAGGGTCTCTCCCTCTCGATCCGAATGGACGAATAGGAGAGAACCCTGGGAACGAGGTTGATGTATATGTTGTTTCGCTCTCGTTGTTCTCACTTGCGATAACTAGGCAGTTTTAAATTCTGCCAAATTTTCAATCGATCGTGTTGGAGTTGACAAAATAACTGTTTGAGGAATTTCCCATTATGTTTATTATGTTTTGGATAAAGAGAAAAATCAATGGATTTGACTAAAAAGGGAAAATAGTTAAAACTTAAAAGTGATTGACCTTTTTAATTGAATTAGTCGACAATGACCAGTCTGAGATCAGTCCGCCACATGCCGTTGTATGTGTATACGTTACTCTAATACGATCTATCTCTCTTGATTGAATTCCTCTGCAATAGAAAATCAACTAAGATAGCCCCTTCAATCTGATTAGCTCGTTGACGACAACGAAAACAACCACGCTGTATTTGAATATTTGTTTGCAGGTCGTTGCAAAGAACAGCATGGGTTTTGGACCAGAAAGCGGCGAAGTCAAAGCAAAAAAGAGTGGAATTGGTGAGACAAGCAATGATCTTTACATATCAGCACAATAGACTTCTTATCTTAACTCATTATGTATTCGAATGTAGCCCATTCCAAAGAGGCGCTAAGCCTCTTTATAAACCAAGAAGAATTATACGGAAGTGAGTTTAATTTGCATGTAAATGAAAACTTGTTTTCAGACATATGATAGGATGGGCACTTTGACTTACTTAAAGGCAATTCCAAAACTGGGCGATTTTTGTTTCTTCAGCCTGGAATGCCCATGTTTTTACTGTTGTCGCTGTCTTATGGAGATACCAGGTTCTGACCAGCGTATGCTGTGTTGTCTTTCTTTTTTCTGCTCCAGGCCCCAAAGTTGATGATGGTAAGAAACTATGGCTTTTAATTGCTATAGCGACGGGAAGCACTGTATTTGTTCTGGCCGTTGTCGTGATTGCCATTGTGGCCGTGACGAAAAAGAGGCAAGATAAATTAATTTATTTAACACTTCATGTAGATGCAATGATAAGAGTTCACACCCAGCTTGACCTCTTTAGTTAGGGCCTGTTTAGATGGAAGTGGGGGACCCCAGGTAGGCGAGGTAACCCTTTCAAGTGGGGTAAACCCCTGTGTATATAGTTTCACATATGGTCACCCCACCTATCATGCAAACATGATCAAATTAAAATGGGAGATTATATGGACAGGCGGATTACCCCACCTAAGTGGCTTACCTCACCCACTTGGGGCCACCCACCTCCATGTAAACAGGCCCTTACAATGGACTGTTCTCTTGAAACCAAAGATCAGCCGTTCCAACTGGGGATGTTACACCTGTAAGGTAACCAGTGTGAACTCTTGCTGTGGTGTATGCTAGAAGAGCCCTTAGAGATACTAACAATATGTACCATACCTACTCGTTCTAAGTGTCGGATTAACACCGAAAAGTTATCCTTAATGCACAGTAAATAAATTGCAATCTGAGACATGCCAATTTCATCCAATCTTGGGACCCTAAGAGACCAGTTTTACCCCATAAGGTAGTTAACAACCATGTGCGGTCATAGTTTATGAGGTAGAGTGATCACGGAGGATTTTGAACTGGACTGTTCCTCCAGAACACCCCGTTTGTTACCCAGCGACAGTCTTACTTGGGGATTCAATTACCATTCATTATTTTCAAAAGAAAAGGTTACTTACCCTGCACTGTTTCTGTGTACGGATTTTGATCATTCTTTTGGGGAGCTCCTTTTTCCATTCATTATTATTACATGCCCATCTTCTTTTAAGAGTGAAGCGTTGGGACTCCATCATATTTGACTATTATTTCTTTCGTTCATATAGAAAATACAGAAAAAGAGCTAACACCTTTGAAGGTGAGTGATAGCATATGCATATAAGCGCAACGTGCGGTCATTTAAGAGACCTTAAGATTTGAGGACGAGCTGAGAACGACTAAGAAAATATACATTTTACTTTATTTTATTATTATTATTTGTTTTTTTAAATAGACACCCCCCGAAGGCTTCATTGTGTTTGTTTGTTTGTTTTTAAGAGGAAAAGTTGACACCGTTATTTTTTTACTGATTAGGAGGTTTAACGTTCTGCCGATCGGAAAATTATAAAACTTGTTTCCGTAACTACGATATTTTCGACAAAACCCGCAGTAGAATTACGACATCTATTGCGTTTTCCCGCCAACCCTAGCTCACGTGCGCGCATAGTATTCTCGTCCTCGTATTCTTCCTCGTTTTAGAATTTAAAGGTCTCTATTTAGTGATAGATACAATCGGGAGTTTGCTAACTACCAGTGAAGCATAAGAAAGCCGAAAAGACCCAAAGCCAACTCTGATGTATAGCAAATTGTCAAGAGCTCGCGCTTTCCCTAGTCATTGTTAATTTTTTTCTTGAATTTTAATTTGCCTGTTTTGTATCCGTATCCGCAGCAACGGAGCTATTCTCAAACAATGGCCTCTCGCAGTACGTTGACCCCAGTAACTATGAAGATCCCATGGAAGCTGTCAAAACGTTTGCGGCCGAGGTCGACAGAAGTCAAGTCAAATTGGATTGTGCAGTTGGTGGAGGTGTGTGATGTCTTGAATTATTCCTTCGAGTAATATCACAATAATCATTATTATATATTTTCTATTACAAATGATTTTCCTCACATCCTTGCTAATGCTTATTAACCTTACAAAGATCTACCCGTGCTAGTTTATAATATACACGGATTATTATTCAGTCTTGTTGATTGTTTTATACTATTGTTCTTATTTTCTTTTGTCTGCCATTAAACTAGGCGAATTTGCTGAAGTTTTCAAGGGGCTATACGATGGGTCAACTGTTGCAGTAAAGATTCTAAAGGTGCGTTATAACGAGTCCTTTGTAGGGGGGTACTAACGCACATCAAGTAGCTTTGAAAATGGCCCTGTTGTAGGGTGGTATCCCTGTGGTATCTCGACATAGTGCATGATGGGAAAGGGAAAAGCAAGATGTGTTGTTCGGAATAAAGTTGTGTTGGTGAACATCTGCTGCGTTGTCTCTGATCCGACATCTTATAACTGGCCCCAGAGCAAGAACTACTACCTTAAAAGTGGAAAGCTGGATTGTTGATGTAGAAAATTAAACACAATCCGACAAAATTATCCGTATCATGCCAATGTTTCTGTAATCAAATTTTTGCGTGATATATTTAAATGCAATAAGTTTTCATAGTGGCTGTCAGGTAAAAAATGTGTCCCTTTTTTGTATCCAACAGCAAGGTTCTACTATTAAGAACACAGAAGACTTTATGTCCGAGGCATCCATCATGGGCCAGTTTAGACACCCCAATGTAATCCTGCTTGTTGGCGTGGTAACAATTAGTACGTACAGTGTTCATGTGTTTGTTTATTCCTTTGTTTGCGTTTTATTGTTTTTGTTATTTGTTTGTTTGTTTCTTTTAGTCGATTCATATGCGTTATTAATGCATGACAAGAGAGGATCCTCTCTTGTACATGAACAAGGTCACATATTAGCTCATTAATATTTCGCGACCCATGCGTCAATTCCTTAGTTTTCTTACGGTTGCTTTGTCACTGGATATTGCTGACATACAGCTGAAAATTTAACCAGTTGCTCAAGTTAACCAGCTTTTATCTTTTGAAGTTAATATTTGCCTGTGGGTTAACGCGTATATCAGTGAGCAAAAATGCAGCAAAAACGCAGCTAACCCGAGATTTGCCTAATTGTCAAGAATACGTGATGACGTCTCTCGTACTGTGGATACAAGGAGTTTTTTTCTTGCGTGCTCGGGATTCCTCGGTGTCGGCCGGAGGCTGACAGATCTTCGGCCAAAGGCCGAAGATAAAAGTGGCGTGACCGAACCGGAAACCGCGCATGAAAAGTCTCTGGCACCCCCTAGGGTAGGTGCTTCGTTGCCTTTGAAGTGAGCAGCACCTATGAAAAATAATTATTATATTCTTCCAATGCTTCAGGGTTGATACGGCCTACACACAACGTTCTATTTGCTAATTGTGGTGGCACTAGATTGTCTTAGTTAGCTGCAAAAGGTTGTAATTAATTGCTACCTCTAAAGTTTGTATTGGTTATTTCAGGTCAACCAATGATGATTGTTACAGAGTTTATGGAGGGTGGATCACTGGATCAATTTTTAAAGGTGCGTTTGATCTCCTGGTTTGGCAGAGCTGGGGATTTGCCCGCCATTTGTTAAGTGTGATTCCCCGTAGGGTGGGGCGCGTACTCTTTTTAAGTTACTCTAAAGCTGGAGCCGGTTCAAGAAGATTATTTCCATAGAGCAAACATTTCCAAGGGATGCAGTTATCAAGAAAAGCATAGCCAAGCAAAGAAATTTGATATCGTGTCTTTCATTGTTAGACTTTAAAACTACCCGTATGTAGTTTGACACTTTGGCTGCATCTAGATGGGCTCGATTTCCTCCCTTTTCTGAGTTCCTGTCAGTGCGGGCTCAATTCCCGAACAATGGTAAACAAGCCTACTGCATCTGCGGTGCGATAAGTTTGCCTTGTTATAACCAGAGTGGATAGTCTGAAAAAAAAAGCACTTTATTTGAGTGTCAAGGTATTTGGGGACACTATTTTTTTAAGTCTCCAACTGTAGACGGGACCGCCATTTTACGTGGTCATCCGAGCCAAGCGAAGATTTAGCCGGTTGCAATGCAAAGGAAGTACCTGTATGGTATTGTTTTCTCTTAAAGGAACACAAGGGCAAACTTACTCCCCTACAACTTGTTGGCATGATCCGAGGAGTAGCGTCTGGAATGGTGTATCTTTCAGCCATCAATTTCATACATAGGGTAAGTCACAAAAATATTGGTTAGTAATCTTACTTTTATCCATCCATTCATGGGTCCGTCCGTCCGCCTGCCTACTCACTCAGTGGTATAATGGTACCCTAGTTCGACCACAACATACATAATACCCAAGTTAACTTCTAAGGTCAGTGATTGGCAGAAGTGTCAAATGTGCATGTGATCAATATTCTGCCAGTAGATCATCTGCAGCTACCGTTTATATCCGTCTGGAAAAAGAACGAAACGTCTTGCATAAAAAAAGAGTTCAACCTCCACATAATTTTGTTTGTACACCTACATGGCCGCCTTTGTTTTTTGGTAGACTAATATGACAGCCTCGACGTCATGTAGGAATGATCTGTACGCGGGAACCAACCGTAAATTGTATTACTGAAAATTTTAATTTTAATTTTATTCTGCTGCTGGTTGCGTAGGGAATAAACGATTGTTTTAACGGCGCAGCTGAAAAACCAGTTTCTTTACTTTCTCAAGACCTTTCGGGTCAAGTTGTTCTTTTTTCTTTCTTTCTATATTCATTATATTTTAGGATCTTGCGGCCCGTAACGTTTTGGTTGGCGAGAACATGATTTGCAAAGTCTCTGACTTTGGTCTTTCAAGAGAGTTAGAGGACGATCCAGATTCCGAGTACCAAACGCAGGTAAAACTTCTGCTTTTTTTTTCTTTTGCGTGAAAGTACTACTGAGCTGTATCATTTTATGACCGCTTGAAATAAACGTGACTTACCCCTTCACCTATTACCTCTAGGGTGGTAAAATTCCTATTCGTTGGACGGCTCCCGAAGCTATAAGATACCGGAAATTCAGTTCTGCTAGTGACGTGTGGAGTTTTGGAATTTTGATGTGGGAGACCATGGCATTTGGCGAAAGACCATATTGGGACTGGAGCAACTTTGAGGTAACATTGAACTTTAGGGTCATCAGGTTAACTTAAACATTTTGAAGCTTTAAGGTACCAAGTGTCTTGGGTTAAGGCCTTAGTGGCTTCATTGTTTACCTAAGTATCAAGTTTACAACTCCCCCCGCCACTGTCACCACCACCACCACCCCTCACCCTCCCCATCCCCCTCTGCCTCCTTAGCAAATGCGCTCTCTCGCTTTATGCTCCTTATCGTAGTTATGGGCGTTGCCCCCTTTTGAGATGTATTGTTTCTCCTTTACAGGTTATTGACAGAGTAGAAGCAGGTTACCGTATGCCAGCTCCAGTGGTATGTTTCTGCCTTGTTAGTTAGTTTGTTTGTTTGTTTAATTGTTTACTTGTAGCTAGGTGGTCAAAAACAATTCTACTCGAAGTCATTGAAGTTCTTATATATTTCATCCCAGCCCAACACTTTTTCCGTTTGTTTGTCTTTGTTTCTCTTGTTGTTGCTGTTTGTTTGTTTGTTTTAAATGGTAGCTAAACGGTTTCTGGTGAGGCTCTATTTAGAAGAGGGTCTCTGTTGGTCTTCACTCAATTGATCCAAAACTGATGCTTTCGTTTTCCGACTTCGTGAAATTTTGGTTTTGTTGTTGTTTCCGTTGTTCATTCGTTTTTTTTTTTTTGGTTTTCTTTAACCAATCAAGTCACGTGATCCATCTTAATGTAATTTTCAACAAGTAGCATCACCAATGATAACCAAGGTCGGCTATACCACTTTAACTCTGTAAACCCTAAGATCAAAAACTGAATTCTCATTTGTTGCCCCTATTCATTTCGTTCAGAATTAGTGGGGAGAAGTTGATAAAATATCAAGCAAATTCATCTTGTGTGATTATGTCCGTAATTCTCTTGAATACTCTGTTTTACAAAGCATTGATATTATAAGGAGAAATTTGATGCCGATCACTCTTAGGGCTTGAAGGGTTAAGAGACTTCCTTGTGAATACTTTACTCGAATGAAACTAAACCCGGTAGAAATTTCATGGATATTTTTCCACTTTTTTCTCGGTTGCCCTACCCAGAAATGCCCAAAAATCGTGCACGGCGTTATGATGGATTGCTGGAGTCAAGACAGAACACAAAGGCCGAGGTTTAAAGAGATTTTAAGAAGATTAGAAGATCTTATTCGCACACCAGAAATGCTCAACGACGATCTGGTTTGCTATACAAGGTGAGTGCCTCTCCACATAAGTATTTTCTGACCACGTTAGGCATTAAAACTGTTTCCTGTAGTCTGTTGCAGCAGAAGGCAAGGATTAATATGAGTAAAATTGAAATAGTTGAGATAACGTTTTTTGGTTTTTAATACTATGCCTGCCAAAATACCCCCCAAATATAAGTGTACAGGAGCATTTTATGTATGAGTAAAGGCACTTAGTAATGACTTTAGCACAGGAAAACTGCTCAGCTACCCCTCCCCCAAGCCAGCATTAACACTTACTTCTCACTTAGGACAAAATGTTGGCTTAGGGGAGGGGTAGGTGGGCAGGTTCCCAGAAACGTATAATGATCACAGAGTTGTCCTCTAACAGTAATATCCTCGTGGCATACTGGAAGCCCCTTCAACCCTTTAAACCCTAACATCAAAATTTGAATTCTCATTTGTTGCTCCTATTCATTTCCTACAGAAATAGTGGGGAGAACTTCTTGTTCTCATGACCACTCTGTTTTACAAAGCAGTGTTATTACAAGGAGAAATTTGATGATGATCACTCTTAGGGCTTAAAGGGTTAAAACGTCTCTACCTCTTTTCTCCTTCAGTGCCGTGTCAGCAGACTTCACAAAGTTAAATACGATCAGTGAGTGGCTGGGTAGCATTCATATGGGGCATTATATCGCTAACTTCAAGACTGCGGGATACAACGACTTAACCCAAGTAACACGTATCAAAGACAACGACCTGAAAGATATTGGGGTTACGTTAATAGGCCACAGGAACAAGATTTATAAAAGTATAAAGTCCATGAGGAGACATTTTGACAACATGCCCGAAGCCGTTTAACTGGGTGAAGAGTTAACGGCTGAAGTTAGCCGAAGATTAGCGAAAATTCCCCAAGATGTGCCGAGGCTTGAAAATGCTCTTTTGAGTTTTAAGATTATTGGTTTAAATACACATTCAAGAGCTCTATTTTTGAATTTTTAAGAATATACATTAAATTATAGGATTTCGGACCTAAGTGTTCTAAGTTGGTCTAACTTACCCGAGAAATGGTAGTCCAAAATCTTTTGTTTTCATTCGTATATTTAAATATTAGCTATAGCAATTGGCATTGGCTATTGCATCACGTTTTACGTGTAAAGATAATACTAAATGAAAAAACTTAATGTGCAATAATAAAATAAAGCGAAGAGCTTAAGCCCTAGGCTTATTATATTTATGTAAACAGAACAGTAAGGTAGTTGGTCAATCACCAATCGAGTCCGTAGCCCCTTTTGAGTTCGTTGCACAGTAACATTAGTGGAATTATGTTGATTTATGGTATCAGTTTTAACAGGTGCCTTTTCTTGACTACATATATAGCGACGAGTTTTCGGTTTGATCGCTTCTTTCAGTAGTGTTTGTTTGCATAAACTATATATGCGAAACCGCTATGGGTTTTAAGTTCTGTTATTAAATCTGTAGTGGATGTGTGTTGTTGTGTGTACTAAATTATTATTCAAAAAAACTGTTTTATAAAATTAGACAACACATGTATATCAAAGGTATCTTGATGGCTGATTTTCTCTTTACCGCAACTTGCCACAACTCGATCTCGCGAGTTTTATAGAAAACTGCAAAGCGAGCTTGCAACTACCGCAAAGAGCTATTATAGGCTTAACAAGCCTGTATTGCTCGCTTCTGACCGAGTGGCTCATTCGAAAGAGAAATGGCAGAGCTACCAATCCGGAAATCGTGGGTTCGATTGTACCTTGGGACCTGGAGACTTTTCATGTATATTAAAATTAGCCTTTGAGTTATGAGTAAGTCTAAAAGGCTTTTGGAGGTGTCTAAGAAAATAAAAATGGATCAAGTTAGGCTGATTTAGCGACAGAACGGGGACGTCATTTGACGACGGGAAAGCGCGCGGAAGAGACTAAACTCGACTTCCGGTGCGCAATTTGCGGCTCTGCCATTGGTCAAGCCAGTTGCTTGATTTGCTCACGCAGTCGTCAACTGACGTTCCCTTTCTGTTGCTAAATCAACCTATTAAATGAAACAAAACGTCTATATTCTTTAAAAAGAATCCTTGATATATTTTAAACCAAAAGAGAATTACTGCTTTTAAATTTAACTGAGGAAAACATCGGACTAGACACCCGGATGTCTTATGCTCTTTATTTTACTTGAGTGTCAATGTCTTTAGCACCAAAGTACTTATTGAGGACACTATGTTTTACGTCCCCACCTGCAGAAGGCACCACCATTTAAGGTGGTCATCCGAGCCAGGTTCAGCCGTTTGCAAGGCAAACGCAGTACCTTCAATTTTCGGTTATTTTAAGACCTTAAGTGTGGGTCGGGTCCCGGGAATCGAGTTAGACACTCAAAAAGTCTTATCGCGAGAAGTCACTTATTTAATTAATTTCCTGAACTGCCGTCTTTTATTTCTTCAGTACCTTCCTTTTAGTTTTTTGCCACTTCCGCCTTTTACATGTATTTATCGAACATATCTCTTTAGGAAGATCTATTAATCCGCCACAGTTCAAAACACTGCACTTAGGATAAAACTGCCGACTGCGTGAAGGAGTTCATTTTGTAAATTTGATGATTATGCGCGTCCATGTTCGCTATGGAACCTAACGTTAGCGAAAAAATTACCAACAAGTGAAAAGTCACACCTTGTGAAACAAATGTCCCCCATCTTTTATATCACACTTTACAAAAAACAAAAGTGAACTTTGAAAAACTGTTGGGCAAACAAGCTTCAAAAACCACTATTGTAATCCGTTTTGATCTTAAAAATCAATAATAATAATGATGATGATGATAATAATACTAATAATAATAATAATAATAATAATAATAATAATAATAACAGTAAAAGAGGTTATGTATATTAAGTAATTGACCATGCAGTTAGTCTGCCAAGCGGTCTGGTGGCGCCTTCTGGTGGTAGCGGACTACACCTATCCGTTCTTTCGCCTCTCAGTCTCACGTTTGTAAAAAATCTAATGTTCACTCACTTCAATTGTTATGTCTCTTTTTCCACGATTTTAAATATTCCCCCACCCAATTTCATTAAAAACAATTTAGGAATCTATCAGAAATTCCTTGTGTGCTAAAAAGCTTAAAGGGTAGCCTTACTGAGATATGATTAAGTCCTGGAAATCTCGGCAAGATTCATTTTGAAGGAAATTAAAGTGCCTAAAGAAAAAAAGCCGGCTTCTGTGCGAATCGTCCCCTTAAAGGCACAGTGGAACGAAAGGGACGAAAATCTAGAGAACAGTCATTTCTGCATCGAGTATTAACTTTTCAAACCGACGCAAACATCCAGGGACGTTTTAATCAGGCCGTCATAACAATTCACCCAGTCCCTAAGGAAAACGCACTGTTTCGTCAACAATCGTGTTTTTGGTCCTTTTATATATTAGGTTTTATTTAGTGAACAGAAAAACCAAATCTTTTTATTGGGGGACCTTGCAATGAAAGTACCATTATTAATAATAAATTGTCACATGCATTGAACACAGCATTTGATCATCCAGTGTGCTGAAACATATCGTTGACGTCGCTTTCTCTACTTCTTTTCCTAGAATTACCACCACATAGTAATATTTACATCAAAAATATGTGCTTTGTACATCTTAAAAAAATATGCCCATAATTCAACCGAGTTATAACCTGTCAAGTTCTGTTCATAGATGCTTTTTTTTTTTTTTTCGCGAAATTTGGTCCTTAGTTTGTATGCTGTCAATCGGTGCATTATTCCGCGGGTGTCAACCTTCACACCCCGCGTTAGATGAAGAAAGGGCATAAAAGAGACCGAATTGATTTTAATTAATGATCAAATTGCATGAATAGTGTTCACATTGTTGTCTTCCGTTGAAGAACAAATACTAGCATCAGAATCGTATATATGACTAGCTATAGGTCTAAAGAGACCAATACTGGTAGGCTTGCTGAGGTAAGTCGTCTTATTTCTTATTTTCATTTTTATTTTTCTTCAGCTGCAATTTTTGCTTTCTCGGATTTATATTTTTCTTCTCTGATACAAAGCAACTATGTATTCTAATATTAAGAATCTTAGCAAGCTTCGAATAATTGTTGAGTTAAAAAAACAATTCGTGTTAGATTGAGTTCATTGTTCTAAACTATTTTAACAAAGCCGAGAGAACCACTTCAATTCGAGAGTGTTTCTAACTTCGCACTCTGTAATTATCAAATCTTGGCTCGACCATTCAGGCTATTGAGTGTTTTCTAGGAATCTCACCTCTTAAAAAAGTCCTTTTTTATCGCAGAAAACAGTTGGTACTGCAGATTGGAAAAAGCTCTAAGTAAATCAAATTGACCTTTAAAAGGCCTTTGACAAATATGGCAACGACATTTTCCTTTAGGTTTCAAAGCTCAGCGGTAAAGTAGATTTTTTTGAGTGCTGCGTCAATGCAGTTAAAGAGATATTTGCGTAATGCGCTATATCAGAGTGTCAAAGACTAAAATTATTTAAAAGGCACGGTAGGAAGTTAGAAATAAATTTCTAAATAAAGATAAAATCTATTAAGAGGATGGAAATAGGAAACTCTCTTTGACCACTTTATCTTTCCTGAAGATTGTAACATTAATAATAGCATCGCTAACGAAATTGAGATGTATGAACTTATAGCTCATACAATTCATTTTGATGTGACCTTGTGTATCAAAGCTACTGAAAATCTCCCGCGTTGGCGCCTTCACCGGCGGTGAAAACGAATACTGCAAGTCGACCGCAAAATTTTTCTCGATCGCGAAGCGCAAGTTACAAATTCCTCATGTTTTCGGCGGCAAAGGGAGCGACGGAGAAAGTGAGGCGCTGAGACCTACTACCGGAAGCGGAAAAGAGAAGCGAAGTACTTTGAGAAAGTTTACGAATAATTTGGCCTCCTTATTATACGCCAGAGTCATAAGGTCCTAAGGTTCTAGTGTTTGAGCTCCCTAAAACCTGAAATTATCATTGAATACTGACGCGATGGCACCACTGTGGCACGCAGAACACAAGACGTCTACTGAATGTTACCTTTGAGTTTTCTATCGATGTAAGGGTAGTGATGCAGCTGTTTTATCTTACAGATTGTTATCTGTCATTAAGAAGTCATGGATAGTGTGCATATATCTTTACTCCTCTTTTTGTCTGGCGGCTTCGTCCTTTGTCTTGCGGTCCGATCAGTGGCAGGATGCAAAATAAGTGAAGCATCCCCAGAAGTCCAGAAGAATTGTCAAGGATATAGTCCACTGTGCGGCAATTTCTTTCTTGCTGCTTATAAATATGCATGTGAAGGAAGAATACGAAAAAGAGGGAATCCAGGTACGTTTCTGTCATCATATACAGTGAACCCTCTATATAACGAAGAGCCAACAGACTGGCAAAATTTGTACGCTATAACAAGGTTTTGTTATATCGAGGTTCTGTTTCGTATATTTTACTACTGCTGGCATAAAGAAAATCGTTCGTTATACCGAGAACTTCGTTATACAGAGGTTCGTTATATCGAGGTTCTATTGTAGCATGACCTTTTAATTTCTCGGCAGCTCTGGCTCTCAAATACCAGCAGTGTGATCTACATTTAGAAGGTACCTGAGACCTTTGTGTGCCCTTATAGTTGAATAATAATAAGGGAGGGACATCAATAGGTCATTTATTATTAGAAAAGTATTTTACGTACATGAGCCCCGAAATGCGTCTGTGGGTGAATTATTGAAGTTACTAACTTAAAGGGTACTAATGAAAAGTGATCATTTTCGAAATTAGTACATCATCATCATCATCGTCATCATCATCATCATCATCATCATTATCATCTCTACCATCTTTATCGTCGTCGTTGTTGTCGTCGTCGCTTGTCGTCGTCGCGTCGTTGTCGTCGTTCATTAATGTTTTCATAAATACAATTGTCATTGTTATTAATATTTTCATTGATATCATCGTTGTCTTGATGATTTTGTCTTCGTAGAAGTTTTGCTTGCCAACTATGAACTTTACAAAACAGACGCTATTCAGTTTCTGTCGGGGACAAAACGTGCGAAGATCACTACTTGGAGAGCATCGACTGACCCTGTAGAAGAATGTTGCAATGAAACGTGTGTCTTTGAAGAAGTCAATGAGTACTGCTAAACTGTTGGAGAGTGTCTCAGTAACTGCTCGCTTAGCAACGTCACATCTTGTGCGTGCGTAACCTAAGCAGCGCATAAGCAACTGATGACTCAAAGATGATCACTTGACTTATTAATCTCGTTTTTTCTTTTTTTTTTTTTTGTGATTAGCCAGCGTTAAAGGTTAATGTTTCTGTTGGAAAAGGTACCAGGAATCTTTTGCTTTTTTTTTTTTTTTTTTCAGGCGAACGAATTATCTTTAGAGCATGATTTTGATTTTTAATAAAAGTCATAACTGCGCTAACAATTAAAATGCAAATACGTAATCAGACATTACGTATGGTGAGCCTTTATTTCTGCCAAGTGTATCGACAACTGCTTGAGTCTG